AACACACCAAAAAACAGATGTCAGCGTAGACAGAGGTGAATCTAGTTTTACGTGCGTCTTCGGTCAATCACCACTTGTCTCTTAAGAAGCCAAACTTGCGTATTTGAATGCTTCTTTCTTCTCTTTATTTCAGATTGTTTGGCGTTTCTCAATTCGGTCCTGTTCATCCTCACAAAAAAAGAGCAGACGTCACTATGTATCAAGTGCTTGAAAAGAAGCTTACAAGGTACATGTAGTCTGTTAGTTAAGCTCAAGTACAGAATATCAGCTCTATGAAAGAAAGTATGTACCCGTACGTGATGACCATAAGTGCCAGTGAGCAAACGGTCACTGAACTGCCTTTTTTTTCGCACAGTAAATTTTGAACTCGACCAACACGCGCGGCGGTAATCTGAATCTTGTCACTAGCGGTACTGCAGCGACCTCTGGCAGATTATATCAGAAATGCACCTAATTTCTGGCTAGGAGAAAGCTAATAATCACTCAGAATTATTTTTAAAAATGATCACATTTGTTAACATGCAGATGTCTTTATTCAAAGAAAAAAATCTACAAAACGATGATGCATTAACTGGGAAAACTGTTTGAACCCAGGCTCAAAGCTGTTATATATCTGGGACGTATTTGCATGATGTTGATGTGTTTTTGTGATGTACAAAATCTTCGTTATCACATGTTCCCAGTGCTACTAGGATGCACACAGTGTACAGTGCAACACACATGTATGTAAAAACAGAGCTTATGAATATTTCTAGATTATACATAATAAGTACGTCATAACAAGTTGTCTAAAAGTGTCAAAAGGGCCTGTTAGATTGTTTCTAATTCAAGCGTTCAAGGTATTTACCATCTCATAGATCAGATCATACATTTCACCCTGTCGCCCTTTTTGAAACTATTACCTTACTTATCCTTACTTCATTAGGAAATGGGTTCGCAGGATTTGGCTCACAGTTGCTAGATAATTCCTTTCACAATTGTCATACTCGGGGTGGTAAACGTGCAACCACTAAAGCTTCTTTCATCAATCAACACTGTGTTTAAAACGTCACATTCATGCCATTGCAACTAAGACACTTTTCTATGTATATACTCTATTCAAGAAACAAGCCACAAGCAGCACAAAAGAACTTTTCCACCACATTGATGGTTCTTACACCACAGGGCAAAGGTCACCATTTGCCGCAGGCGCAGAAGGCCAAATCAGCTGAAAACATAATTTTTTTTGTATGTGTGAATAAATGCTGGCATTTTCCAGCTGGGGAGTTTTTTATTATTCACTTCATCGGTCACCACAAAACAAGGCTCATGGGAGCCACTTAAGGCACTTATTTCTCTTTCTGTTTTGTTGAAAAAAAGGTCTTGTTTTGGCTGCCTGGTAGAGCTCTAAAATCAATACCAACTTCTTGTTTTTTGGTGGTGTAAAGGGGGTCAGACGTCATGCCCTCAGTGTTTGCATTTCTCGTAGTACATTCCACTGATCAAAAAGGGATGATATTTTTGTACCTAAAAAGACAATTCGGAGGTCTAGCCTGTCAATGTGAGTTTTCAACAGTTGAACACTCAAGTAGGTGATGTTTGACAGCTCAGTTCTTAGATGTTCACCATATATTCTGGAAATGGTGGTCTGCCCCCTACAGGAACCTTCCCCAGTAAAATCCCGAAATTTTCACACCTATACGGGTGGAATATTTGGCTGGATAAAAAGGCACAAATCCTACGACCACCACTAACACTATTAAAGGCTTCCTTTCCTTATGATTAATTATCACTATTTTGTTATAGAAAGTCTCTTGAGTAAAAAAAAAACGCTATTTCTTAAAGGATTTCCATGTTTGGATGATGCCCAATCTGTATTGCTGTAACAAACCTAATTGGAAATGTATTTTTTATCTGTCTCTCTCTCTGTCTCTCACTCCTCTCCCCTTCCCTCTCTCCCTCTATAAGACAATTTAAGAGCTATGAAATCCGAGAGAGGTCATTGCCTCCTCCCATCACACGATTTGTATTGTTGAAAATAGTTCCGACCACTTCGAAATGTTCAACTGTCACAACTACAATGTACATGTAAGCAGTGCTGACAAATCTGGACCTACTAATTTGAACTTTTTTAAAGGCAGCAACACTGGACAGGACGCCATCGATGGTCCAAGCAAACATGGGAATATGACATTGCTACTAAGTTATTGTTATTGGAAATATCTTGATAATGAGTGAAATTTTTGAATGACAAATCAATTGAGTACTTTTAGCTGTAAGCATCAGGTGGCAATACGACCTAATCACAATGATAATTTTGGAAGGAATGTTCAAAATCAACCCTGTGTTGACTTGAGAAAAATTTTGTTAAGGAATTTACAAAATGTCATTCAAAAACCTTGCTCAGATTATCATCAAAATGTAGATATGAATGATATCTTGAGTATTTTGTCCTTTGGACATTGTCATCATGTGTAACATTTATGGGTGACCTTTAAATGTATTAGTTTTTAGATTGTGGGTATTAAGATCTAGGGTGTGAACATACAGGTAAAGCAACTTTTCGTCTGGGAATCGTCATTATGATTCCACAAAGGTTGGTCGGCTTGGAAGACGAGTTGTGAAAATAAATCATTTAAACCACGAAAATATCAACATGAAAATGGTAGGGCTGGCTATTTGCAAAAGAAGGTCTTGCCCTTTGTCTCATTCCTCCTGGTACAGCCCCTCATCACAAGGCGTCATCCCAAAATGTTACCAAGATGTCATTACAAACTTCATACTAAAGAAAAACATCTTGGGTAGAATATGATCCTATTTAATAACATCATGAGCAAATTTTCTGGATGGTATGTAAATCAATCTATATTTTCAGCTCAGTTCGGATTTGAGAATCATCAAACTTCCTGATGTGTCTTGGGCACCAAAAACTGTCGCTGGTGAAAAAGTACAGTGGAGTGAGCATAAAACCAACAGGACGGTACCCAGGCAATGCTGTATCTACTATCTCTATCTTTGAAATATCACGTTTAGAAGTGACGGTTTTCATTCAATTGGAGTTGGTCATTCAAGAATGTGTATCTGGTTCGGCAAGAAATGTCTGGCCAAAGGTCAACCATCATCGAGGTACATCCAGAAATTTTGCTCAATGTTTCTAATTGTAATAAAACTCAAGAAAGAAAAAAAAAAACGTCTGGGGTATAATGATCTTAGCTAAAAAAACATCACGAGCAAACGTCTTGGATGGTCATTGGGTGTATCAATCTTTGAACGTGTTTGATTTTAAGTGGGATTTGCTTTTAAGTGTCAGTTTTAGGTGAAGGTCCACACTAATTCACAAGAATTGACAAAATCTTTTACAGATGGCAACTTTTTTTGGTGTGGCCCAAAGTAGGGTGTGTCAGGTTTCGGCACACATCATCTTGTAATACACCGGGCATACATTCCACGCTGTAAATGTGGTCCACAATCAAGAGACATTATGTGGTTTGAACGCTGCACCAAGGAGGACCTGGAAGCCCTGACCCCCAGTAAAAGGGCATGTGCGGAGTATTGGAGGGGGAGCAGAGTGTAGCATTGAATGGTGACCCGAGAAGAAGAAGATGTGGTTTGTGTCAGTATACTAACAATAATTTCAAATTGGTGGTATGATATTAATAAGATATTGTCATTTGTTTTTTGAAAGGAAAGCATGAAAATGTGGACCATCCAAAACGTTGCCTGAGATGCTCTTGACTGGTGACTGAAACTGGTGACTGTATCCAAAATTGAAGGCAAGGCGCAAACCACACATAGGCTACATCTTGACGTTAGGGGTGTTAACTGTAAACATGGCGTCAGCCTAGCTAGCCTGTGGTTTTCAGATCGCCTGCTCTACTCTCCGTCCTTCAGACCGTGGTAGGCCCACTCCCCCCGGCGGGAGCGCTTCTGCACGATGGCCGTGCCCAGCACGACAAGGGCGAGCGCCGCCAGGACACAGCCGGCAGCCAGCATGGCCCAGGGTGCACCGCGGCGTGCAGGGCCAGTCTCCTGGTCATCCACCAGGCGCACAGCGTGTTCGGCTGGGAAATAAAACATCGTTGCGTCAATAGAAGTGTATGGATTCCATTTCAATCTATTTCCGTCTTTTAATGCACACCCACCATGTGTAATGCTGACTATTATTCTGCCTACGTACACCCACCAATGCTGACTGTACTTCTCAGCAGCCTATAGCTAGTCGAGCGTAGACACTTTTTATTACAAGAAGAACAGTACGTGTCGACCTACGGAGAGAGTATCTACAATTACAGAATCTGATTTAGTCCCTACTTTGCCTTGTAATGTTTCTATAGCATGATAGAGAAAAGTACAGTGATATTTTGAAGGAAAATTAGTCTTATCAGTCATTCCGACTTAGTTGAACATGTCCATGTACCTTCTTTGTCATCATCCAGAACGATTGGTCCCTGGTAGATCATGTGACGTCCCCTCATGTCGACCTCTCCAGCAGCTCTTTTGCCCCTCCTGACACAGCCCTGGGGGAAAATAATATGTGTGGTGTCATTGAGACATCTTTTATCTTTTGAAATAGTAGCTAATATAGTCCGTACGTAAACCACCTTTTTAAATTTGCTTTCAATTTGTTGCCTGATACCTTCCACAGCAAATTGTCTACTTTGAAGCTGTCTGTTAACAGAGAGACGACACGTGTGTGGCGTTAAAGATAGTTATACTTGAGGTAAAAGGAGATCGACTAGAGAGACCGTAGAAGTATTCGAAGATTAGGAGTGAAAAAGTAGGAATAACAAGGGCTCGGGTACACTGACATGGACAGGGTATTATATATATATAATGAGCCATGATCAGGAACCAAAGCACCGGTAAGCCAGCCGGGCCAGTCATTGAAAAGTAATTTCACTTCATTTTCTACTTAGCCTATGAAACCCAAGCTCCGGGGGG